CGACTCTAACTGATGTGACCCCCACAGGAGCTGCTCCCCAATGGCTCTAACCGACATGGCTCCTTCCCCTGCAGGAGCTGCTCTCTTATGGCAATAACTGACACAACCCCCCCGCCCCCCAGGATCTGCTCCCCAAGGCTCTAACTGATATGGCCTCCTCCCCACAGTAGCTGCACCCCAATGGCTCTAATCGACATGGCTCCCTCCCCTGCAGGAGTTGCTCCCTAACGGCTCTAACCAGCGCGGCCCCCTCCCCCACAGGAGCTGCTCCCTAATGGCTCTAACCAGCACGACCCTGCCCCCACAGGAGCTGCTCCCTAACGGCTCTAACCAACGCAGCCCCCTCCCCCACAGGAACTGCTCCCTAACAGCTGTAACTGACGCAGCCCCCTCCCTCACAGGAGCTGCTCCCTAACAGCTCTAACCGAGATGGCTCCCCTCCCAATGCAGCCCCCTCCCCCTCAGGAGCAGCTCCCTAATGGCTCTAGCTGACACAGGCCCAGCATTGCCAGTCTTGTGGTTTTTTCACAAGTGCCCGGGTTTTGCCAGGGGCTGGGGCTCATCTGGTGATGGCGCGAGAAGCTCCAGCCCCCTGGCGAAGTCCAGCCCCGCTGGGAGCCAGCAAAGTCGCTCCTCTCCGCTCACCGCTCTGATTCAGGGGAGCAAAGAGCCCAGCTCCTTCCCTTCCCCTGTCCCATAAGCAATGGGACAGGACAGCTCCTATGCTCCTCCCCCCCTGCAGCATCCCAGAAGGAGCAGAGGAGAGGCTGGGGGAGAGGGGGGCTGAATTGTGCAGGCAGGGGTCTGGGACTGATGAGGTGGGGGTGGGGGCAGGGGCTGGGCTGGCTCTACCATTTTTGCCGCCCGAACTGCCGAAGCAAAAAAGCTCAGACTCTGCCACCCCAAGAATGGACGGAATGCGCCCCTTAGTATGTGCTGCCCTAGGCACATGCTTCCTCCGCTGGTGCCTGGAGCCGGCCGTGGGGCTGAACTGAGGGGGAACTGATGGAGGTGGGGGCTCAGGTGCTGAACTTGGGGGGATAGTTCAGTGGTTTGAGCATTGGCCTGCTAAACCCAGGGTTGTGAGCTCAATTCTTGAGGGAGCCACTTAGGAATCTCAGGCAAAATCAGTACTTG